TTATGCTATCTATCTACCCACACACATTGTTTTATCTTAAAATGTAACCAAGGAATATTTGGAATATTTAAATGTATAAAAATGAGGATGTGCATATAAAAAGTGTCAACCAAAAAAAAAGTGATAATCAAGTGTAATAATAGAATTGAAGTATAATAAGGGTTCTACTTTATATATATATATATATATATATATATATAAAAATATATATATATATATATATATATATATATATATATATATATATATATACATATTCATTTATATCTGGTTGTTAGTGATTTAATTGTAATCCGTTTATGGTATTTGTAGCATTTTTTTTTTTTTTTAAGGCTATGTATTCGCAGTGCATTTTAATTTACAACCAATTGGCAATTCTTCAATCTTCATTCATTCAATCATTTTCTTTTCGGTTTAGTCCCTTCATTAATCTGCGGTAACTACAGCAGAATGAACCGCCAACTTATCCAGCATATGTTTAAGCAGCAGATGCCCTTTCAGCTGCAGCCCATCACTGGAAAACATCCATACACACTCATACCCAACTGACAATTTTAGCTTATCAAATTCACCTATACCACATGTCTTTAAGGGAAAACCGGAGCACCCAGAGGAAACCCACGTGAACATGGGGAGAACATGCAAACTCCACACAGAAATGGCAACTGATCCAGCCAAGGCACAAATCAGCTATCTTCTTTATGCGAGGCAACATCGCTAGCCACTGTGCAACCGCATCACCATTTTAAATCTTGGAACATTGAAATATTTATTGTTAATAATTGGTATTATTTTATTTGTGTGCATTTATAATATTGTACCCTTCATAATCAAAAGTTTATTCCTGTTTTGTTTCTCTGTTTTTTTGTTTTAGTGGCTGGTGCAAAAGCAGGTAAACTTGCCACTCACATGTGATCACAACAGCAAATCACAACAATCCAATCATTTGGACTAAACTCAAGTCATGCCATGGAAGTGGAGTGAAAAGCAGTTTTATTAATATATAAATATATATTCCATAGTATAGGAAAAGATTATCACAACTTTCATTTCATAACAAATTGAGTCTTAGAGTGCTTTAATGAGTACAGCGAACAGTGTAACTATAGATGTGAACAATGAAACAATTACACATCCAGCTACAGCAGGCAATACAAACAACAAATAAATGTAAAAACAACAACATCAAAACTATATTAAAACAATTCTAAACATTTATGTGAGCCAGGGGTCAGCAACATATCGCACATGTGCCAGGCTGCCAGCTTTGGCACACAATGGTATAATCACTGAAATGCAAGCAATATCAAAAGAAGTGTATGCATTCATTTAAATAAATTCCCTTAAATCTGCTTACTGACACACATTTTAATTATTCCCTATAGTCACACAGCCTGTTTTATTGAGCTAGGAGCTATAAATACAATTAAACGTGAGAATTAACCTGGCTAGTCAATGACTTGTCACAGAAGTATGATATCTGTGCATACGAGCCACAGAGAGCTTGATGGAGATCAAGGCTGTGTCATGAATTCAAGTATTTAATTTTTGCTTTGGTCATGCAGCACAAATGAGCAGATGATAGCTTACTATTCATTCTGCAATTGTTGCTCTCAGCTTTCAGTTTAAAAAAAATCTGCTAATTATATTTTTTAAGTTGTCAAAATTCTTAACATTCCAAACAAAAGTTATAATTATGGTGAAGAACAAACTATAACATTTATGCTCATTTCCATTCAGTCACACTGTGAATCTGTCATTCAGTTCAATTTCAATATAAATACTTTAAAAATTAAATAAATATATAAAAAACCATTCTGAGACTTGAGATAATCTAATAAATTAGGGGTTAATGTTAAGCTTGGGCAACTGTCATAGAATCACCACCTCACTACAATCACAATCCTCAGAATACTAATCACCTGCACCTGCACCTCATCAACACGCTCATCAGCACCTGTATACAGTACAACACTTCCTAGTCCCTCACTCTCTGGTCTACTTGATGGACTATAGACCTACTTCCAGCAATTAATATTTTAATATTAATATACTAGCTATGTCCTCTACTTTTGTCTCCATCATCATTGTTTAAGAAATATGTTTAAACCATCTCCTCCATTGAATCCACAATCTCCACCATCATCTGAATCGAATCATCTGTTCACTCATTAGACTTGAACTTACCTCAGCATGTCTATAAACCAGTGTTTTGTCTCAACTGATATCTGTCTTTTCTATTATTGTTACATAGAAATGATATGCATAACCATATATAATCATTTGTTTATGCTTGTTTATGTTATTTATGAGGACACACATTTGTATAATGACATGAATGTGACATGCTTTCTGTCTTCATAATTTAAAGCATCTTAATTTTTACTTAACAAGGTTTTTTACTCTTTCAAAATGTGCCACATGCAAGGTTCTTGAGAGGTTTGGGTTTAGGGTAACGCCACGTAGTAAGCATTTATTACAGTATATGATACATAATGGATATTAGGTGAACATAAGGCCTTTATAAAAACCACCAGCAGTGGCAGTTAGTCATTTATTCTGTACCATGTCTTTCAACCTACAAAGCTGCATCTCTCCACTTTCCCATCGGCAAACCTGTCATCACGCGGCCATCCGCCTGCATGCAACACACCCCAAGCTCCCACAGAATGCTTCGCATCCCAGGACAAGCTCCACTGTTGAGCATTTGTCCCCAGTGCATGAGTCTCTGGCTCCATCTGATGACCTTCTAACTGTCTTCAGCAAGCAGTGGGTTCGGATAATGAGGGGATTGATAAGAGGGCTCTCTTCCTGTGGGCGATGGAGGGAGAAAGGGGAGCCAGCGGGGTGGAGGGAGCAATGCTTGCCCCATGTGTCTCTGTTGAATTGTGGGAAAGAGGAGTGAAGTGGTTCCCCTACAGGCTGTATCAGATTTCCCCTGAGAGGATCATGCTGCTCAAATAATGTAAGCCCCTGGCAAACACAGTGAACCTTTTCACTTCTTTGTTTTTGTTTATGCTTATAAATGTGTGCTAAGAGGTGTCCATGGCCATTATCATGTGAAAGTATGGCATCGAGAGTGAAGCTAACAAGTATGTACTTTGTTTCCTTCCACTGTGAATTAGTGTTCCTGCTATGTGTGGAAAGTTTACACAAGAGAAGAAATCAATGGTTAAAATGACTTCCATATTGTGGGTGGATGGTGAGAGTAGTGAAGAGCACGTGGCCTCCTCTCCTAAGTCAAGCGACACCATTAGCTTGACATTTTCCTGAGTGCCCATAAACAGGAAATACGTGTGGCATTTATTGAACAGACACACAGTCTATGACAGCTGATGACCCTCCCAAAGGACCAAAACCGGTAGAAGGTTCAATAGCTCATCATCAACTGCCCTTTGAGTAATTAGACAATTGGAAGGGGTCTGACATAAACCAATACTTATACTCTGGTCCCACAGGTGGCTTTTCGCAGCTGATTTCAGGAAGGAAGCCGCTTTAATGTCATGTTTTTCTTGAGCAAATAAAGGAGTCAAGCTGCTGAGCTCATAACTAGTGGACGCCACTTGTTCATTGCCCTTAGATGATGGCTTGCCACTTGATGAGAATGCTTAATTGATTGCATTTATTCAGTGAAATCAAAAGAATAAAAACAAAAAATATACAATATGCAAGAAGCCACGTCTACAAGCTAAAAGTTCTATGAAATATCAGACACAGACTTACTTATTTGTAGCATTTTATGCTAGGAAACTGAACCCAAGTGAACATACTAATATCCATTACTCATAATTCTTTAAAGGTCTATTTTCTCTGTTCTGTTGTTTAATATCAGAGAGCAATGTACAGTAATATCTCATTTAATTAGGGATTTAAGCTCTCTAACTACTGGGCATATGGTATTTACTCTGCCATGGCCTTGCACATCAGATGAATATGCATATCCTGGGAGTGTGTAGCTTGTTACCCTAGAACGAATTCTACACAAGTTTAATCCCTGATCTATTATTTACCTCTTGACCAAACATGTGAGTGGGGCTTGTAGGCACTCAGCTTGATCAAAATGACTGCCTTGGGATTTAGGGGCTTCTATTGGTCCAAAGGAGAAGTCTGTCATTTGACTTTCCTCATCCTTCACTCTTGAGAATCAAGCTCAGTGCGCACTGTAAGAAAAAACGAAACAAGTCCATAATTAAACATTTATAAGCGCTCTGTTCAGACAGTCTGGGGACACAAGTTTTGAAGAAATATAGGAAATCAGTGTCCTCAAACATCTCTAAAGCAAAATATCTTAGAGATTTGTGTGTGTGTATGGGTTTGCGTGCATGTGTGTGTATGTGTGTGCGTGTGTATATGCACACAAGCCTATGTGTGTTTTCAGGGGACTCTCATTTAACTGACATTAAAGCATTTAAAAGCAGGGCTGATGAAGAAAAAAAATTATTTAAAGTCATTAAAAAAATCTTTGATTTACACAGCACTAAAAAATCCAACAGTGTTCTGCCCATTTGTTGTAAAGTAAGTGAACAAGTCAGATCCTGTGATATCTTTTAAAGTTTTTTTTTTCTGTTTAGAAATGTAAAAAAAAAGAAAAAAGAAAAAGAAAAAAAAGGCAAAGGAAGAAACACTTTCTATGTTAGCCTATATAATACCCTACCTAAAGTAGGCTAAACTATATTACTGAACAGACTAGAAGATTGAAAAAAATCTAATTAGATAATAAGATAATCAGCACAATTTGCAATATTTTAATAAATGATCAACTCCTCTAGAAGGTAATGCACTACCAACTACACAAGACTAAAATATATTACCACGTTCCTTTGGATGTAATGCAGCAGTCAGAGAGAGCTGACTATGCAGAAGAAATAGCCGGGAGTGAGTAAGACAGTCAGTTTTCTCTTCCCGGACAGCCAGAGATTTACCCCGCTGCTTCAAACTACCCACCCACTTTAGTCCCGCTTCTGTCCCGCTTCGGTCCCGGTGGAGTGGCTCATACGAGCGGACCTGGAACAGCGGAACCAGCGCTGGGCTTCTTGATCCACCGAATAGCTAATATTTCAGCCAACGGGCTTCTTTCTCTTTTCAGAGACCCGGTACATGCGAATGACGAGAGCGTAGTGATTCCGTTTTTTATCAGTGTTGTTTCTTTTCCTAACGATGACGGACTGCTGCCGTTTTTGATCCTAATATTTTAATCGCTTAAAAAAGTGAGCGGACAAACATAAAGTTTTGAGCGAGTTTAGTGAGATTTGCGTAAAGAAGAGGAGAGGGAAGAGGATAGAGTCCCCCCACATGAGGGCGAGATCTGACTGAACTTCATTTAGCCATTCACACAATATGAAGAAATGGTGAGTATGACCGAACAACACACGAACACTTTACATTAATGGCATTAACAAACATTATTGTAACGCTCAATATGTAATCATTACGTCACGTGCAATTCAATTGTCACAAGTCCTAAAAGTTGTAAATAAATGAGCGTAAATCTGTTAGGCGGTATTGTCTCTAAAAGGCTTAGACTAAAAGTTTCCGAAAAATGTTTAGTTAGTTGGGACTAATGACAAAATTAACCGCCATCAGCATGTTTACATACTAAAGGCAAAGATAAACTGCTTTACCTGTATCTCAATATTTCCTTATTATTGTACATCTAAATAAACACACATAAACTGATTGCACAAAGTCGCTTTTGTAAAAGAAAAAAATATTTAAAATTAGCTATATTAATCAAAAATCCAAAATGGTCATTTGAAAACTGTAAACACATTTAGATAAATTTCATCTGTGGCAATTTTGTTTGTTTGTTATACTTAAGTACAACAGTCAGTAATAAACAGATAAAAAACATGCAATAATAAAACTATTAAAATAGCCCATTCTTAATGTAATATAGCCTTATAAATCTTGAAATAATATTCTAATAATCTTTTAAAAGATAAAAAGCATCATGACTTCCTTATGAAATAAAATTTCATAAATGCACCCATAGTTTATGAATTACACAATAATATTATCCATCGCTCTAAAAAATAAAAAAAAACTTTTTAATCGTTTTTAACCAACAACAATCATCATGATTCATTTTGAATGTATTAATCAGCTGAGCACCTACAATTAATTCAAACAAAAACTTTATTTTATAAACTCATTACAGACAATTACAGTATTTTCTATTATTCTCTATCATTCATTTATTTCACTTTGCTAAAATGAGGGAAAATGATTTACAAGCGCAGGTGAACACTGAGGCATTTCACTTTCAGAGAACAGCGAAGCAAGGAGGAAATATCACTGAATAGAGTATATACTACTAGGGGGAAAATCTTCCTGTTCCTCTACTTAAGGTTTAATGACTTTGCCGCTTTAAATTATTCTTTTTTTTTTTCTCCCCCCTAATCTCAGTGGTTGTCTGTGATGGGGCACAATTGTTCAAGCACTGCAGTCAAGAATGCCAATTTGCATTCCAAGAGTGTCATTTGATGACTTTTATCTGCACGGCTCCCCGGACTTGTCTGGACACTTAACATTTCATCTGCTCCATGTCAGAAGTCAAACGCAGTTATGTCCCCCATCTCTATCTCTATCCTCCCCTCTCTCTTCCTCTTTGTCTTTCTCAGTCTCATCTCCTTTTTTCCTAAAAAAATAAAGCATAGGTTTAGGGAAGGAGTTTAGGAGAAATGAAAGGGTGTGTGAAAAAACGAAGGAGGAGGTAAAATGAAGAGGTACTTTCATGTTGCAGGCGCAGTCTAAGGCTGAACTTGTCAGCTGTGCTGGTGTGATTCTCCAGGGACTCTGGCAGAGTAAGAGGGTAGATGATGGTTAGACGGTTCAATAAGCGCACGGACAGGTAGCCCTAGTGACGTCCCCCGGAGACATTGTCTTAATGAAGAGCAGGTCCACTTAGCCCTGTGTTCTCTGACCCTCTGCCTACTCACCACACACACACACACACACACACACACACACACGCGCACACACACACACACACTGCTCATTTGATCTCCAGATCTCTTGAACCTTTCAGATCGTGACAGTTGTAAAAATGTCAAAGTTTCTGTTCTGCATGAGTATAAATGTAGGACTGCAAAAAAGTATTATTATTATTAATAAAAGTAGTAATCAAACAATATAAATCAACAATAAAAACAGTAATGTGCTCATTGTCAAAAAAACAAAAAAACAAAAGCCTCATACGACTATGCTACCTAAATGAGGAAACAATGGAAAATGCAGCAAGAATTTGCTCTGCTAAAACTGTGATCCATGTCCACCATGATCGAGAAATGATTTGTTATGTGTGGATGGGGTGAGAGGTACGACAGGTTGGCCATGACACTTACAAAACAGAACATGTGTTTGAAAAGACCAGCTTTTTAAAAATGATTTTCTCTTTCTTTATCAGTCTGTGGATTCTTGTCATATGCTACCGTCTTGGTAATTTATTGAAACCAGAAATATAAATGAATTATTTTACATTGTATTTATAACCAAACAAACAAACAAACAAACAAAACAATTCATGGTCACATTTTACAACAAAATGGTTTTTACTAACAACATTTACCAATGGATTATTAAAATACATAGTTGTGCTTGTTAAAATGAGTTAATGCACTGTAAGTTAACAGGAATGACTTCACGTTCATTAATTAGTGTAAATAAAGATGAATAAAATAATGTAATAAATATCATTGATCATTGTTTGTTTATGGAAGTAAACACATTAGCTAACAATAACTACTGGAACTTCATTGTAAAGTTTTACAAAGATTTTAGCTGTTGGGAAAAAAGGCAGTACAGTAAAGAGAGCATGCTGAAATAATTAGGCTTTGTTTTTTATTAGGTGTTTTACCCTATATTTGCTAATGCAGCCTCTGATCAGTTAGATCAGTGGTGTTTTGAAAGATCATTTATGAATTTAGCAGGAAACAAGAAATCAGAGAAATCATTTGAGTAAAATCAGAGATGACAGCTTACATAAATTGTGTTATTTCTGTTGTGACAACATTATTATTATTATTATTATTTGGCTTTGAGGTTTTGTGCTTTTGTGCACAAAATAAACAGACCATCATCAATAAAGTTTCCAACATAAACACTTAAAAAAAAAAAAAAAAAAACCAGCAAATTAGATGATTTTTTTCACAAGAGTATGTGCTCGCTGTTGTATTTCTGTGATTCATTGCCAAGAGTATTGTGTTGCGGAATAGCTGTAAATGTTGAGGTAAAACAGAAATGCTCGAGTGTGTCAGCTGCTAGACCTGGATTGATGACCTGAGGAAATGATAGTTTAAGGGTAACCTCTGCTCTCTTAAAGAACTAAGACAATAATTCACTTCTTTTCATAGAATAAAGCGAGCTGGGTTGGGGTTGTTGTGGATCTACAAGCTAGCACAAAACAGAAGCATCACAGTGACTAAAGTACTCAGTGGGGAGGTGTATGATTATTGTGGGTGATTTATTTTTTATAGTTTATAAGGAGGTACTACAGAATAAGATGTTTCACATTATACCGTATGTACAGAATGTGCTGGAAAAAAGAGGGTATTTCATTTATAGCATTTGCCTCTTCATAAAAAAAGCAAGGATAGATCTGTTTAAAAACCCTGTGAAGAGGAAAGGTTTGATTAAAAACTGTCACTTCAGAACAGTCTTGGACTGGAGTACTGATCAGATATGGCAAGACAACTAAGGTATTGTGTGTACATAAAATACATGTCAGTAATTTTAAGAATTAATCTAGATATGAAAATGCTTTCCATTCAAGCTTTGAGTTCACTTATGTTCATCTTAAAATCTAAAATGAATCTGTTTCTATAACTCATTTTGTAGACGTTTGAGACTCTTTATTATACATTAACGTTGTGGAATTTACTTAGTGACCTTTATTAGAAGAACATTGGCCAATTTGTGAGAAAACTATGATTTAGTATCATTCATTTATTACAAACTACCCCTCTAAAGTTCTCAGTGATTTTCTATGCTGAAAGTTCATTTACACACTAGGTGTGTTGATAAATAATAGTGTTCAAGTGTTTGTGTGTGTATGTGAGTGTGTGTATGCAGAAAGGGGGACAGTGCAGCTTTTGAGCAGACAGAAATGCTGCTTCTCAGAGAGCTCTTTCATGTGACTGTAGCATTCCACTAATGCAGTCACAGCAGCGATGCACAAGACGAGACATGCGTCCCGTTCTTCTTTTACCATCAGTCTCATCAGTCCCACTCTCTTTTTCTTTCTCTGACCCTAACATTTATGCTACAATTCCTATCAGCATCTGTAGAATTGGAAAGTCAAACAGGTTCACGCACACACAGGCAAGAACTTTAAACAATAATGCACATCGACACTCACAGTTACTCTTGTTCTCAATTGTAGCATGTTCCAATATATATTATTTGTGTAGCTTTTTTTAAAAGAAATGCCTCTGTTTTTGTTCTGTGTCTATCCATTTCATTAATGTCCGTGCAGTCTCTCTGTCTGAGATTGAGGGAACAATAACAAAACAGCCCCACTGTCACCGTTATTAGATTCCAGCTTCTTTACCAGGCAACCTCATATTAAAAGAGAGAGAGGGAGAGGTGAGGGAAATGAGCCGTGCATAGAGTTTGCTGAGTGTGTCAAGGACATGTGCCACATGTTGATAGAACTGAAGACCAGGGGTGATTATGACACAGGGCGGGGGGAAGAGGGTTCTGGTCAGACTTCTCCGCTGGAGAAGTTTACTGCTAACACAAACAGTTAGTGTAGGAATTCATTTTCTAATAGGTGTCTAGATGAAAGGGGGGTGCTTGCACTTACAGAGCGAATATGTACACAAGCGTCACAATCTTTTTTGTATGGTTAAAAAAATGAATAATTGGGGAAGCTTATTAGTCTGTTCGCCTTGAAGCTTTAATAAGACTGTATTTCATAGTGTATATAAGTTCAGAACAATTTTCATCAGACTTTTTGTCTCTGCGTTTTAAGAGCCTCCACATTTTATATTTCACACTTGCAAAAGAGCTTTGGTGACATTCTTTATTGCGGTCTGGTCTCATTGATAGCAGCATTATACCCGCAAGACTTTAAAAAACTGCAGCAGAGCTCATTAACAACTTTCTTTTTAAAAGGACAATGTGGAGAAAAAATAAAACGGTTTTAAATAAAACAGTATATTATATACAGTTCTAGTTTTAGAGAAAATGATTAAATGGAGTACATTTTAAGGTGAATACAAGCTAAGAGCAGTAGAATGCTATTTATTTTTATTTTATTATTTTATTTAGATTTGAATAATTCTGAGTTTAACATGTATTGCACTTGTTTAACAAAGTGATATAAGATTAAATCTTTTTAAATGACTTG